ACGACGCCGTTAAAGTGAACAAAACATGAAGGCAAGGAGTACGAAAGTGAAGATTATTTACTCCCCATACAATATTTAAACAAAAATAATAGCAACACAATTTTTTAGTGAAAACACTGAAATTGAAACATTTAAACAAAGACATATACATAGAAATAGAAGAAAAAAAGATGCCTAATATAGAGTCATTGAGCCTCCATGCCTCATCAAAAAATAGCTAAATTTCACAAAGAAACAATCTCGATCAACCACAATACTGTGATTGAAACAAGAACTGTGATTGAAAACAAGATTGTTCCATGAAATACCTGAGAAGAACGTCGTGTTATACACCTTCAATACAATAAATTTGTGTACAAGTGTGATTTCACAGATCTATAGATCTAAGAGAGAACTAGCAATGGAAAGAGATGAGATCGAGGAGTAACTGCCTCCACAACCATTGCCACCACCACCACCACTGTCACTGCAGTCAAAGAGGAGATCGAGCCACCAGCTTTGCTATTAGAAAGAAAAGTTGAGGAAAAAGAGAGAGGGAGGGAGAGAGAGAAAGAGAGAGAAAGAGTGATGATGATGGAAAGAGAACACGCGATAGAGAGAGATGAGTAGTTGTGCGATGATCGCCATTGAAGACTAGTAAGATGTTCGTCTGAGTTGAAGCTCGAGGCCTTCTTAGAGTAGATGAAGCTCCACATTTCCTCCAATGTCGGCACAGATCTCACCAAGAAGATTGGCCTCTTTTATCAACTCAACATCACTAGACTTGGAGATGGAAGATGAGAGAGAAGATAAAGACAGAGAGAGAGAGAGAGAGAGAGAGATGGGGGGAGATCGACAGAGGGGTTTAAAACCCTAGATTTAGGAAGTGAATAAATAGAGAGGGAAGAAAAAAAAGAACTTGGTAAGAGAGAGAGAGAGTGAGAGGATAAGAGAGAGACGATGGAAGAGAATGAGAGAATGGATTGTTTGGTTTTGGCAACAATATATATAGGGTAATTTGGTCATTTTGTATGAGCTTGTCAATTTGGATAAAATATTTGAGCGCCCGGACCTTTGGCCAAGGAAAATCCAAATTTGGATTTATCAACCGAGTGCCCTAAAATCAATTAATATAATATATATATATATATATATAATATTACTATACAAATTAGTATTATAAATTATGCAAGTACTTAATAATTGTTTAAAATCATGTTTTAATAGGTTGAAACTACTCAAACTGCCAAATCGTGATTTGATTATGGATAACAAAGTTGTCCATCTGTCATCTACAATTTAATTTGAATTTTATTCTCAAAGAGTATTATTATTCAGACCCAAAAAATGGACCTAATAATGTGTGAAGAAGATGATTAATTGATAATTAAATATCTTCTTGACACATTATTAGATCTAAAATTTAAATCTAAAAAATAAACTTGCATACCCTTTTCCATTTTGAAATCGTACCCAATCACATTGCAAACACCCTTTAGTGTCTGTTTGTTTTGGGTTATAGGAGATGGGATTGGATTAGGATGGATGTGGGATCTACTAATATTGTGTTTGTTTGCAAAATGGGAAAGTGGATTCACAATACGTTTGGGACTATAATAGGCCTCCATGGATGGAATTAATAATCCACCATGAGAGATGGTATTAGAAAAATAGTCCCTTAGGATTAGAGGGAGATATACTGCCACGACCCAATCCCGCCCCTAAAAGTTTGTTCCATGATCGGCCTATTCATAGGCCTCAAAACAAAATTTTACGAATACTTATTCCAAATATGGGGCCTGAAGTGGAAGCAAATATCAATATAAAGATAATGTCCATTGAGCTTGTGCATACATGATGACTTAAATAAATTTAAGCATTTAAATACACTTCCATATTTACATATACGATCACAAAATTTATATAGATCTCACACACACTTACATAGGACTCATTGAACCACATAATTCTCCAATACAAAATTAAAGCCTCAACGCAGAGGCGTAACTTGGCGGCTTGATAAAGAGATGGACCTCGATACAAATCTAGTGTTGGTCCCCCAATGGCTCACCTACATAAATGTACATAATAATGGAGTGAGCAAGACTCGGTGAATAATAGCAATGTAAGGAGGTTAGGTTAATAAGAATAGCCTTGGAGAATATAAATATAGATATATCAAACCACACACAGGTCTTATCCATTACCATATTTCAAAACGGCCTCAGGCCCACATGTAATACAGAACGGCCTCGGGCCCATGTTTGATACAAAACGGCCTTAGGCCCAACATAATGACAGCTGTCCAGGGCAATGTAGGGAAGATGGAACATCGACATGTCTCCAACTCCCTTGGTGTTAGAGCCATTAATCATATATGATTCATATCATTATAGGGTAGATGGAACATCGGCATGTCTCTATCTCCCTCGACCTTAGGGCCATGAGTCATAAACAATTCACACCCACATGTAATGCAGAACGGCCTCGGGCCCACTTTTATTAATAAGAATAGAACAACCTTAGGTCCATATTGATGCCATCGTTCAATCATGTCCGTTAATTCAATCAAAGCACAATATCATTAGTATATGTCATTCTCAAACAACAATTTATAAATCATAAGCACAAGAAGTAAGTAAAACATATCGTTGCACTACTATTACTCACAATGATGGGCTTCTAATAGTAATGGGACGATGTCCTTGTCTTGACTTACAAACACAATGTACAAAACATAATATGAGATTATAACCGATCCCTTACTTATTCTCTTTGATCAATTAGTTATGGTGGTTCTAAACTCATAGGTCTTCAATGGACCATAATTCATATCAAGGAAAAATAGGAAAAAATGGAAGGGAATTGGGTTAGGTGAGAAAATAACATGAAATGGTTGGACAGAAAGTGAACAATCTTCACTAATTTGGGCATATCTATTTGTGTACTAAGCATTTGGGAGTGAGACCATCACCAATGGAAACTAGACTTCCGGGGCTTGAGTTTAGGCTCAAGAATCACTTAAAACGGAGTTCGGATGTAAAAGATATGCTTATTTGAAGTTGGCTGAAACAGGGTTGTCCCGCACGTATGGGAAACTTGGCCGCACGTGTGTGAATTGGGCCGCACATGCGGGACCACGTGCTTTTTTAGCAAAATCTGGAAATGGACTGCCGCACGTGCGGGAAGCCCTGCCGCACGTGTGGCCCTGGGTCAATTTTGCTGTCCGAAAAAGTTTGTTGGCTCTAACACTTGTTTTTCCACTTTTTAAGCTAGATTTCAACTCTAATCACCCCAAAACATGTAAAATTACACCACAATATGATAAACTAACATCAATCAAGTGTAATTCCATTTCAAACAAATCAATCTTTGCCTCAATGTTCAAGATCAAAGCTTTATCTTTCATAATCTTAAAAGTTCTCAAACCCACAATTACACTTGATTCTTGCTTGATCTTATTCTTTGGACAATCTGAGGTTCATTTCATATGATATTCATAAGGTTGAGCTCCAATCATAAACAAAATCATAGAACTCAAATTCTAATTCCTTAAATTTAGTTCAATTAAATACATACATAAAACCCTCATCCAAATGGGTTCAAATTTTCCAATATCATAATGATTTCATGAAATTGATACATTAAACATAAGGATTCAAGATAGACCTTCATACCTTGGTTCAATCCTTGCCCTTTTCATAGCTCTCTTCAATTTCTCCAAGCTTCCATGGTTGATCTTCTTTCTCTTTCTTCAATTTCTTCAATTGTCTTCAAACCCCCATGAATGTTGAGCTCTCTCTCTCTCCTAGAGAAGCTTTGTCTCTCTTCCTCTCTTACGGTCCTCTCGCTCTCTCTTAGATATTTTTGGCTCAAAGATGATGAGTTCACTCATATATCACATATATATAACCATATATAACCTTATCACAATTAGGGAGGGCCAAATACACCCTTACAAATCGTACGAAATCAAATTTCAATTAAACTTTCTAGATGACTCTAAAAATTACGCTGATCATAATTATGTATTCTGTTCTGGTTTCTGAAGCCTCTAAGGCCTTCAATTTTCAGTGCAAAGTTAACCACCCAAACACACCTTAGCAAATAAGACAAAATAAATTTTCAATTAATTTTCCCAAATAGCTCTAAAAATTCCCATTAACATATCTACGTACTCAATTCTGATTTCTGAACCCATAAAGATCGTTAATTCCAATTTTAAAGTTGTATCTCAACAGATAATGCTTCAATTCAAAAGATATAATCACATTAACCCATAGGTAAATAAAGATAATTCCTTATACACGTTTTGGGGTCGTTACATATACTATTTTGCCCTCTATTATCCTACTTAATTTACTTACTCTACTTCTTTTCTCTATCATTTTTTTAATTATTCCACCATTTTGCCCTCCATCATTATTTTTATCAAAATAATTTAATATAAAAATATAATAGTATAATATTTATACCAAAAATAAAATATATTAAAAAAATAAAATTGTACCAAAAACTATATATTTATGAAATATAATTTTTGATATTAAAATATAATTTTAATATTTATAAAATATATTTTAAATATGAAAATATGTAATGCATTTATTAGTTGGTATAAGTCCAAATTTGATTGTAATGCAACAAAGATATTTGTGAAATTTAGTTGATACATGTTTAATTCCACTCATATCTCTCAAAACAACCATAAACTATTGTTAGTCCATTTGTTATCAAACAAATCCCTTTTTTCTTAGTATCCTCACTAACAATCCTATCCAATCTACCTTTAAAAATAAATAGGCTTTTTTTATTACAAGAAAACCCTCACATCCTTCTGCAAATTTAAAACAGTGCTCGTTTCGAGATCACTAAAATATTTTACTATCCGTTTCGGATGAGAAATTATAATTTAAGAATTTATGCTAACCCTTCAATACAAATCTCATTTAAATCATGACTCGCACAATAAAAAAAAGGTCCAAACAATTTCTTGAGACTCCCAAGCCAACTGCGCTACCACCCAGGGTACGAACGGACCTTTAATTCCCTGGTAAGGTCAGCAGCCCAGAGAGACCGGAGTGGGGAAGCGGCAACCTTTGGGGGGTGGGGTGGGTATGAGAGGAATTTAATGGAGTCCGGAGGGTAAGATGGGAAATTTCAGCGTCAAAATGGAGAATGAATGGAGAGAGAAATAGGAAGAAATTTGAGAGATTTAAGAAAACGAAGCAGAAAAGTTTGGAAAGTGTTAGAGAGAGAGAGAGAGAGAGAGAGAGAGGACAAGGCAAAAGCAAAGAAAGAAGGGTAACTACAGTGACAGGAGGGCGGAGGAGCTCTGCGATTTACCAATTCACCCAATATCACTTTTTGCACCTTCTTCTGGTACCATTTTTTTTTCTTTTTTTATTATTATTAAAATTAAAATAAACAATTGGCATGTAATTGAATTTCTTGCTTCAATCTCTTCACCCTCTTCCTCTTTCGTCATTCTTTCCTGATCTGTATCTTTCAATCATTCCTTGCCATTGCCCAATCTTCAAATACATCTTAGGACCATTTTCCATGTACCCTTGGCTGAGATCTCCATTCTTTGATTGTGTGTTGTTTATTGGATTGGTACTTTAATGGGTTGTTAATGAAAGTATCAAACTGTTATTTGGTTGATCCCCCATGTTCATGCTATATGTATTTGACTTTTATCATTTTGAATTATTTTTTTATTTATTTTAATTAATTGAATTATTGAAAAGGACATTTATAGTGTGGTAACTTTGATTTAGATACGATGTGGTTGGTTAAGACAACACTACATTTGTTGTTGTGATTATGCCATTAGTTCTTGCTTCCCTCTATGTTAATATCTGATGATCCTCGTGAACTAGTGCCGAATTCTTTCGTGTGTGTTAACAACTTCATACTCTTTGATTATTGAAAATTGGCTTTCCACGTTTAAAGGAACAAATAATTATGTATATACCAATCATCACTAGTAAATTTAGTTCATCAATAATGCTCTGCAGAATGAAGTGTCTCTCAATGTGTCAACTATTTGTTTATAGTTTTTGATCAGACTTGAAAACTAGAACTTGAGAGCCACACACATCATGAATGTTTATTAGTATTGAATTGTGATGTTAGAGTGAATCTTGTGACCTAAGTAGCACAGGTACAGGCACGCAACACGATACAACAAGACACGACACAAGACACGCTGACACAGAAACAACGATTTTCATAAAACACAGGACATGATACATTTGGGACACATTAAAATTTTATTTTATTTTTATAAATTTATATGGGTTGGTTTGGGAAGTGGACTGGCTTTTTAGCTTTTTGGCTTTTTTAGCTATTTTAGCCTGGGCTAAAAAGCTTGGTTTGTGAAGGATTTTTTGGCTTTTTGGCTTTTTTGACTTTTTTTGTGAGAGAAGAGTGTAATGATTATGGGTTGGATGTGATATTTTGTTTTTTGTGGCTAAAATATCTTATTTTGTCTTTTGTGGCTAAAATAGCCAAAAAAGCCTACTTTAGCTCTTCCCAAACGGTGCCATTGAATAGTTTTTTCAAAGGTAATGAAAATAATAAATATATATATATATATATATTACATTAATTAATATTAAAAAGTCAAGATTTCATAATTTAAATATCAATATATCATTAATGTAGCAATTGCATTATAAAGAATACAAAACAATTGTAGAACACTGAAATACACACTATGTATTTATCTTAAAAAATGTTTCAAAACATATTTTGACTGCACAAATTGCATTATGAAAATTGCAAAACATTGTTGCTATGAAAAGATTCATCACATGGGTCGTGTTCTTAGGGTTCAAGAAGTGTCGTCAAAGTGTTCGAGAAATGTTTGTAAGGTATCCGATATTATGAATTTAAATTTCTAATTAAGAAACATTAAAGAATTGTCGGACACGCTTTTAGAAGTATCGTGTCTAATACGAGTGTCCAACAAGGCACCTCATCCATGAATGTGTCCGTGTTTCTTAGCTTGTGACCATATTGTACAATTTGAAATTTTAAGAGGTGTTCAAACCATGATCCAGTAGAGAGAAAGGTTGGAAATTTTTTATTTAACCTGGGCTTTTCTTTCCTTAGATAGTCGTATCGTATCCATGTCTGAAACATTGATTGTTTAATCCTTTTGTTTCAGAATGTTGAAATGATAAGCATGTGGGATATCTAGTCAGACAATATGAAGTTTGTTTCTTCTTCCTGTTGAAGGTTGCAGAGAAAAGATCATAGCAGATAAATCAGACAGAGATGTTTTCATTGTTTTATGGACTGTGGAAGTATATATTCAGTAAGACAGAGTTTCATGTTCTTATTCTTGGAATTGACAAGGCTGGGAAAACAGTAATATGTTTACTCTTCTTTTGAATTATTTCATTTTCTATTGGTAGTTTATGAAATGCTATCCTAAGCTATATTAAGCACGGAGATTCAAATTTAGTTGATTTCCTGGTTTTTAATCTATGTCTATGTTCATCTATCTCCTTTTGTCTAGTATTAGGAATGTTTATTTTATCATTGATTCCAAACAGCGGTGATAAAACATCTGTTTAACCATCTATTGGTCCTCTGACATAACCAACAGAAGGGATAGTCCATACATTTTAGTCTTCACTCTTCATCTATTCTCGTGATTATTAATTATTCTAATTCAGTACTTTTTTATTTACATAAGAACAAATTTCATGCATTATTTACGCATGAGAAATTTTGACAGGAGAGAGTTGTGCTTGTGCAGAACTTAGAACTTACCAGTTGCACTCTAGTCACCCATACTTTACTCCCTTTGGCAATTATACCTAAATGTGTTGTGCCTCTGCTTCACTGAAAAGTTTAAGACAATATTCTACCTCCCAATTAGTTTAGGCTAGTCAATGGATAGCTCACTTTCTGATTTTTACTGAGCTTAACTTCCTTCTTGTGTGTGATGGTAACTGTTGTTATTTTAGTGGCATATATTCCTTTTGCGACAATAGTTTGTGACATGAGAGTTACACGGCACCCCAATTAGGGCATTTCAATTACAATGAACCTCGTGGTGCAGGTGAAGTCCATGAGGGTGGAAAAATCTTATATCAAGGTAGGTGAAAGGAAGATACTTATGCTCTATTTGGTTCATTGGAATGGATTCTTACTCCTCATGGAATGATCATTTCCTTACCCTGGTGAATGATGATTTCATTTACAATGCATTTTTCATTATTTTTTAAGTCAACCAAACATAGGAGTGGACATTTTGATGGAATGGTCATTCCTTCCCACTTCATTCCACTGAACGAAACACTACCTTAAGAGTTACTTGACCAAGGGTGAAAGAACTAATTATGTTCTCAATTTTGGTTTAATTCTGCATGTGCAAGACAAAGGCATTATCTGGTGAACACTACTTGGAGTTACTTGACCAAGTTTGTTGATACGTGGAGATAGAAAAGTTTGATCTATGAACCTTTATGTTAAAATTCCTAATGGAGATTGCATGATCAAACTTTTCTATCTCCACGTATCAACAAACTTGGTCAAGTAACTCCCAAGTAGTGTTCAACAGATAATGCCTTTGTCTTGCACGTGTAGAATTAAACCAAAATTGAGAACATAATTAGTTCTTTCACCCTTGGTCAAGTAACTCTTAAGGTAGTGTTTGGTTCAGTGGAATGAAGTGGGAAGGAATGACCATTCCATCAAAATGTCCATTCCCATGTTTGGTTGACTTAAAAAATAATGAAAATGCATTGTAAATGAAATCATGGATGGGAGGATTTTAAGTTTATGCGAAGGTTGAGAGGAGTCTAGGAAAATCTTAAAGTTTGGAAACGTGAAGTTTTGGGGGATATGAGATAAAAGCAGAATTAGTTCAGGAGATTGGGGAGTTAGACGTGAAGGAGGTCGGGGAGGGTTTATCTCAAACGTTAAGGTATAGGAGATCAATGCTTAGAATGAAGTTGGAGGAGATCATTTTTAGGGAGCAAATTTTTTGGGGTCAAAGAGCCAAGTTGAAATGGGCTAGAGAAGGTGATACCAATTCTAGATTTTATCATAGAGTTGCGTCGGGGAAGCGGAAGAAGAGTTTTATTAAAAATTTGGAACTGGCTCCAGGTGAAGTGGTGTGTAAGGAGGCGCTTATTGTCAAGAAAATTTTTAATTTTTATTCAAATCTATATTCTGATGGGGGTGTGGATCGTCCAAGGATTGAGGGCATTAATTGGGTTCCAGTGGATGTAGCGACTGCTAGTTGGCTGGAAAGACCCTTTGAAGAAGATGCGGTGAGACAGGCTGTATTTGAGTGCGACAGAGATAAGGCTCTAGGCCCAGATGGCTTTTCAATGGCAGTATTTCAGGATTGTTGGAAAATTGTAAAAAGGGATTTAATGAGGGTATTTTCTGAGTTCTTTGAGAGCGGACAGGTTAATTTGTGCACCAATACATCCTTCATTTGTCTAATTCCCAAGAAGGAGAAGTCGATCAAGATTGGGGATTTTAGACCCATTAGCTTGATCACATCTCTTTATAAGATTTTAGCTAAAGTGCTTTCTAGGAGAATTAGAGTTGTCATGGGGGAAATTATTTCTTCGGCGCAACGTGCGTTCGTGCAGGGTCGGCAGATTTTGGATGTAGTCTTAGTGGCTAATGAGGTTGTGGAGAAGTATAGGGGTCTACGTAAGGAGGGTATTGTATTTAAGGTAGATTTTGAGAAGGCATATGACCATATTGATTGGGGTTTGTGGATTTTGTTTTGGAAAGGAAGGGGTTTGGCGTTAGATGGAGGAAGTGGATTTGGGGGTGCTTGTCGTCATGCAATACGGCAATCATTGTGAATGGCAAGGCGGGAGATTTTTTCCAAGCATCCAAGGGTCTAAGACAGGGTGATCTTTTATCACCATTTTTGTTTACTTTAGTTGTTGATGTGTTGGGTAGGATTATTGATTTAGCTAAGGATAAGGGTGTCATTGAGGGGTTTGTGGTGGGAAGGGATAGGATAGGTGTTACTCATTTACAATTTGCGGATAATACTATTTTCTTCTCATCTAAGGAGGAAAGTAAGGTGGGGAGTTTGTTAAAGATTTTGAGAATTTTTGAAATAGTGTCGGGCTTCAAGGTCAATCTTAGCAAAAGCTGTGTTGTGGGTATTAATTTGGACGATAGTCATGTGCAGAGGGTGACGGCTATGCTGGGATGTCCAATTGATTCCTTTCCTCTCAAATATCTGGGGCTTCCGTTGGGAGGAGATCCTAGATTGGTGTCTTTTTGGGTACCCGTTCTTGTCAAAATCAGGAAAAGATTGGAGGGATGGAAGCGAGCTTTATTGTCTAAGGGAGGGAGGTACACATTGGTACAATCTGTATTAGGATCTATTCCTATTTATTTCCTGTCCCTTTTCAAAATTCCGGTTAGCATTGCAAAAAAGATTGAGAAACTGATGAGGGATTTTCTCTGGGAAGGGTGTGAGAAGGGTAAAGGAATTCATTTGGTTAGGTGGGAGACTGTTTCTCTTTCTAGGGCAAAAGGTGGCTTGGCTATAGGAAACATCGTTGTTAGGAATATTGCTTTATTGGGCAAGTAGTTGTGGAGATTTCCTCTTGAAAGTGAGTCATTATAGTGTTCAGTTATTAAAAGCAAGTATGGTGTTCAATCCAATGGTAGGGATTCTAATGTGGTTAATAGAGGCAATTGTCGTTCACTGTGGAAATCCATTTCTCGTTTGTATTCTCTTGTGTCTAATTTTTTTTCATTTAGAGTGGGGAATGGGGAGAACGTTCGGTTTTGGGAGGATGTTTGGTCAGGGGATATTTCGTTTTCTAGATCTTATCCCCTTCTTTACAAGTTGGTTCGTTCTCCAAATGTGTTTATAGCGTCAGTGGCTTGCTCGTCTATGGCACCCATCTCCTGGAATTTTGATCTCTTGAAATTTTGATCTCATTAGAAACTTGAATGATAGAGAGGCGAGGGAGTTGGCATCTTTGTTGGTAGTGCTTGAGGGGGTTTCTCTTTCTTCGTCTTCTGATAGTAGGGTGTGGAATCTTGTCTCTTCAGGGGTCTTTCGTGCAAATCATTTTTTGATAAGATTATTGATAATCCCTCGGTTCCCTTGTTCCCTTTTCATAAGAAAATTTGGAAAGCAAGTGTCCCTCATAAAGTGAAATTTTTCTTGTAGTCTTTGGCTCAAAAGGGTGTTACAACTAATGATGTTCTTCAGAGGAGAAGGCCTAATCACTCTCTATGCCCTCAATGGTGTGTGATATGCAAGAGAAATTTGGAGGGAGCGGATCATCTTTTTCTTCATTGCCCGGTGGCTTCTGTATTATGGCAGCATCTTTTTCAGGTTATGTGATGTGCAGTGGGTTGCTCCACGGGAGTGTATGCATATGATTCTTATTCGGTTTGACGTATTTGGGAGTACCAAGAAAGCCAAAACAACGTGGATAGGCATTGTTTTTGCTATTTTCTGGGTTATATGGTTGGAGAGAAATCTTCGAATTTTTGAAGGCAAGGAAGTAAGTGTAGAGGCGTTGTGTGATAGGGCGGAATATTTGGCCTCATTTTGGGCATTTGTATCTCCTCCTTTTAAAGGAGTTCCTTTGTTTTTAATCTCTAGGGATTGAGCTGCTGTTTGCCATCCTTACGGTTTTGAGTTTTGTGATGTTGTTTTGCTTTTTCTTCTTCCTTTCTTTGTATGAGGACTTCTTGTCCTCTTTCTATTTCTCGTTTTAATAAAATTTTGTCGTTTCTCAAAAAAAAAAAAAAATGTGTGACTAAGAACAATTTACTAATCTTATTATTGACTAAAACCATGTCAAGACAAACCAGAGTCTGTAAGTAGTTGTTGGTATGTTATTTAGCACTCTGACCACATTATGAAATCATGATTAGTATATAAGTGGTGTGAAATAACTGAATGGAGTAGTAGATACAGTAGGTAGAAATCTTACCCATAATGCATATTGACCCATACACTAGGGTAAATTCATAAAAGTTTATTCGGAACATGCCTTGAAATTTTACTTTTTCTCTTTCACTTTGTTGTAATTCTTTTTATTTGTGCTTATTAATTTCTTTTGTTGCCAATAAAAAAAAATGCCTTGAAAACTTCTATGTAAGCCGTGTTTGCATTTCAGCATTAGAAAACTCAAAACTGCTTGTGGACAGATTTGACCCAATTTGTTAAGAAGCTTGTCTAGGTTCAATGACCAATCAATGAAGCAAGCTCAAGTTTCAGTTTCTAATGCTTAAGAACAAAAAAGCTAAGAACAATTTTGAGGTTTTATCAATTAGCTCATCAGCCGTTAGTGATAAAACTAGTGATGCAGCACATGTGAAGATGAAAGGAGCAAATTTGGAATTTTAATTGTGCATGTTTTGAGCATTATTTAACTTAATTTACAATTATTTGAGTCTTTTAATAAATAGGGCTTAGTTATAGATAATTTGGGAATTTTGTAGTTTGTTGGACATGGGTTGTAGGGGTCACCCGTGAGTCATATTATGTGTGAAATTGTATTATTGGATCTTCTATGGGGTCTTCAATAATAGTTCTTCATTTCCACTAATTTTTTCTCTCTCTAAAATTATAGACTTTACTGGAGAAGTTGAAAGCACAATACTCAAACTTGGAAGGCCTGCCTCCTGATAGAATTGTGCCAACTGTGGGGCTAAACATTGGGCGTGTTGAAGTGTCAAATACAAAACTAGTGTTCTGGGACCTGGGAGGTCAGGTTTGTGAAATTCTTCTGCAACTGATGATTTAATTTGTTAGTTGTTAGTGACAAAGGTACGTACCTTACTATTACTTGGATTAGTTCCAAATGTGGTTTTCTATCTTTATAACAGCTCTAAGAACCATTTTCTGAGCTGCTCATTTTTTATGTCACTTCTGCAATAACTTTTTAGTTGAAAGCAATGTTTTAATATTCAACCCAACGGTTAAGGTTTCAACCTATAAACAATACTAACATGTCATAACAATTACAAAAGAAAGAGGTAATATAAAGACCATTATAAAACTAATTTCTCAGTGTAGAGGTTCTTTTTTCACTAACTCTGGTGGTGACTGAAAATTTAGTTGTTAACAAGTATTGAAATCTAATCTACAGTAGTTTTCATGTTGCTAATTCAAACATTTCTTTAGCACGAACTACGGTAAATGTCATATGAGTCGTATCATGTGTGTGAACTGACGTCTTGACATACTTGCAATTGTGTCTAGTTTATTTTTTATTTTTTTTAAAGCTTATTTACCAGAAAATGTTAAACTTTTGCATTCCAAAAAAAAAAAGACGAGATGAGAATGTAGCTAGACTTCAGCTGTTTAAAAAACTGGGCAGAACACTCCGGTATCAAGTACAAGCTGGCTCATCTGTCATGTTTGATATCTTTTGAAGCGTTCTTTTGATTTATTTATTTTAGTTATTTTGGATTATTAATGCAAGATCTTTATTCTGTCAGCCTGGTCTTCGCTCGATCTGGGAGAAATATTATGAAGAGGCACATGCTGTAATATATGTAGTTGACGCTGCTTGCCCATCACGTTTTGAAGATTCAAAATCTGCACTTGGTATCTATTCAACAATTCTAGTTCATAGAAGCTTTGCTATGATACTACTAACATTATCACAAGTGGAGAGTTTTAATTTCATGATGTAATGCTGCCCTAATACTTTCAATTTGGTTATCAGAAAAGGTTCTTCGGCATGAGGATCTGCAAGGAGCCCCTCTTTTGATATTAGCAAACAAGCAGGTGAGCAAGCTGTTGCTTCTTGCCAGGTCTTTTATGGCCTAATAGTAAACAAAGGTTCTCTGAGCCTTGTTGTCCGTGGCTCTAGTCCCCTTGTATTTCCTGACAAAAAAGCAGTATGTTTGCCTCTTTGAATCAGCAAGGAGGATTGAATCATATTTAAAGAAAATACTTAAAACCTGGATCCCGTACTCCAAAAATCTAGTCTCAAGGGAAAATCGTTATCGGTTATTTTCTTCCGAGAGGATATTAACATTGAAAATTGTATAGTCCTTTTGACAAATATATCATATTTGTCAGATTTCTCTCATCCCTGTTTGACCATGTGATAGGACTTATAGAGCCAGTCTGGTTCTCTGGATATTGAAGAAAATGATTTTATTGAAAAGTAATTTCAGACTCATAAGAATTTTGTATTCTTTGCTTTCATCCTTTTTTAATACCAAACTGAGTTTTATAATTTTCTCACAACTCTTTGCATTCAAATGTTAATAGTGAGCTTATTGATATATCATTTTGATGCCAGGATCTTGCTGAAGCTGTATCAGCTGAAGAACTTGATCGATATCTAGATCTCAAGAAATTAGATGAAAGGGCTTACACACTTCAAGCTGTTTCGGCTTATGATGGGTGAGAATTCGTAGCTTATCAATTTCAATGTCAATCACCTGCAAATAAATTGGCATGTCCATTCAACAAATAAAATGATGGTACATGAGAAGAAATTTGGAATCATAGAACCATACCGTATGGACGTGATCCTTGTGGGATTCCAAGTTTTCTTCTTTTTCTCCACCTTAAAATGGAGTCCAAGTGTATAATGGTAAAAATTGAAAACCAGGGTTTGGAATTTCATTGCAGGATGGGAATTAAAGAAAGTGTGGACTGGCTTGTAGACATTATGGAGAGAAGTAAGAGAACAGAAATGCTGAGAATCCGTGCTGGCGTAACAAACCCAGGATCTGCTTAGAAGAGATTATATGAATACACATTTTGTTTTTTGTTTTTTACCCAAGCTTTTGTAACTTCTGTAAGTAAATCATGGTTCAACTTGGATCCTACATGATTGGAACTTGATCAATTGGTTACCCTTTAAACATTGTAGTGCTTTTTTATTGGAAAATTTGTATGATTTGGAGTAATACTTTTGATTCCTTAATGACAATCAAATTTTGAGTTAATGCATTTGAGTGAACGAAGAGAGGTCCTTGTGTTTGTATTGATTGCATGGTAAAACTGTGTCTGCGCAATTTTCTTTCAATGGCCTCTTTCAAAAGGAAGAAGACGAGAAGAAAAATAGGAGAAACAAAAAAAAAAGTAAAAAAGATAGAGAAAAGAAGGAAAGAGGTCCTTGATCAAATATGTAGTCAACAAGAGCTACCCTAACATACGGGCCAATAAAATGAATTGAACTATTTGAGATTTAATAAAAATTGGACAAATTACTCGTAAGTCTTCTCATAAAAACGTGTGCTCCATCTAATTCCACAATTTTTTGTGTAAACCCAAAGGTCCCAAAGCGCTTTTCTTCTTCTCTTTCTCTTTCTGATATATACTCACCGGCAACAACCGACACAGACTCGTTGCTTCTCTCTTACCGACAATAAAAGAGATGAGTTTCCAGCGATATTCTTGACAGTTATTCTCAGATCTGGTCAAGATTACAAGACAACTCACCGGAATGTTTAGATTTAGAGTAGATCTGGCCAAGATCTGCATCAGATCCAACCAAATCTAAACAAAAAATGGTTGCCGAAGCGCAATCATTTCTCCATATCTGTCTCTCTTTTGATCTCTCAGTTTTTGTTCTTTTTTTGTATTACACACCTCTTTTCTTGCTTTAATGGGAAAAAAAACAATTAAGTTCTGAAAAAATATTTTTTGAGTTTTAGTTACAGGAGGTGAAAATTGTAAAATTTTACAATTTTGAAGATATGTTTTTGCTTTTCTCTAACTCAGTCTTTTTTGTCTCTTTATTAAAACAACAAAAAAATTTAGCAAATATTGACAAATTGAAAAGTTATAAACCCTTAAAAAGTACTAACTTGAGATCTCCACCATCGCCGTGACATGAAATTGTGTTTTGATAAATTGCAAATGAGCAAACTGATAGTTTGTGCACTTTTGAAACTACAAATTTATGCAGTTTGATCAACAATAAATTCAAACTCTAAATTTTTACAATTTTGTGAACTGAAAATTATGTGCTCTATATGATAAAGAGTTTTTTTTTTTTGGTCATTTTTTGTGGTGTTGGAGATGATGCGGTTAAATTTTGCTATTTTTGCTCTAATTTCTCTATTTCTTCTTCTTCTTCTTCTTCTTCTTCTTCTTCTTCTTCTTCTCGGTGATGTTCTGGACATTTCGGTGAGTCTCCGGCAATATTCTTGACGTCCAGCGACATTCTAGACATTATGGTGACTTTTGATGACATTTAGAACACTACGGCGAATTTTCAGCGATACTCTGGCAACTTTCTGGCACTGTTGAACATTCCGATGAGTCTTCGATGACTATCAGATGGAATTCCGGCGATAGTGAAGTGGGATGTGTTAGCATCTTTAAATTAAAAATAAAAAAGGGATGTTTTGGTGACAATTAAAAATATGTAAGATTAATTGGTGCAAGTGATTTGTTTTAGGATTAGATGGGTTTTGAATTGTTGAAATAGGACCTCCGGTCAGTGCCCCTTAAAAATTTGTTCAAGATCGATTCTTTTGGTAAAAAATGTTAAGTTTTCAAGCAAGTTTGAACAGCCCATTACTTGAGTCAATAGGCTTGTATGTTTTATCAAAAAATCAAGCTAGGTCAAGTTAAACTCAATCAAAACTTATTTAAGATCAACTCGAAATGTAAACACATCAAACTTAAATACATTTTAAAGTTCATTAAGTTTTTAAACTAAACTTGAACAACTTACTACTTGACTAGATTCAGCTCATTTACAATCATACTGACATAGTGAAGGAGCTTTTAAAGGAGAATGGTAATAGATAGATGGACTGAGCTGATGCAACATTTTGAGGGCTGAGATATAGAAATGTGTAAAGGGATCCAGTTATAGTGTCATGGTATGCTTTTGCTGCTGCTGTTTGATGCCACTGCTTATATCTTCTGTCTGTTTTTAGCTGCTGGTAGAGGGTGCAGCTTTGCCACGCTGGGCATCCTGTGGCTGTGTTGCCGTAATCTGGTGCTGCTGCTTTGATGCTGCTGTGTGATTGGTAGCTGAGCGAGTTACTGATATGCGGTGGCTGTATTTGGTGATAATTGTTGTTTTGAAGTGCGTGTTTGCTGCTGTGTGCTGGTATTTTTGCTGGCCTGAGTATCGTTGCTGATACTAATTTGAAAACCTGCAATATTTTGTTTTGTCTGCACAACCTCTTTTGGTATACGTTTATATTATTTATGGGGTGGAAAGCTATATAATTCTGAAGTTAATGTGTTCAAAGAGATAGGAGTTTTATCTTGATAGAAAGTGTTGTGTTAGCTTCTAATATCAGCTGTTTTAGTAATAGTTGATTTGGTAACCTCTTTGCTCTTGTTGTGGGTATAGGTTGAGTTTGGGGCTGTGTTGTGTATCAATTGTTCTTATAGGGTATGCCCCTTCTGTCTATGTATATCTTTTATTTCTCTATATAAAATCCTACTAACATAATTTACAATTTGCCAAAAATGCCTTAAGATACATCAGGAAATGTGAAAGGACCCAAAAATTCACCAGCAATCCTTCATAAGATGTTAAAAACAAAATAAGCATTTTAAATAAAATTTTGAATATCCAAGTACAGCAAATAGATAGTGACTTAAGTATGGTTCCTTCTAGCACAGAAAACACATAATTTAAGATACCACAATAATACAATGGAATTCAAGGTTGGCATCTAAAAATATCCAGATAACTTCGAATTTACTTGTCTTGATTCCTTCAGACCCCGAAAATTGCCGCAGAAGAATTTCATGTTAATCATCAGTTTGGCACAAGGGAACCTGTTGCACTGACTCTTTCCTTCACAAATGGTTGTGGCCCTGCAAAGAAAAGACTACATGATTACTTTTATCTAGAGACGTTTAGCAAAATAGGGGTGAACAAAAAAAATTGATACACTAAAAATAGTGAAAAAAGAAGCTATGGGTTACTGCAGATGACCACAAAGAACAAAAACCAATTGATGGGTTCCACTTGAAGTCAGAAAAAGGTAATTTCCAATCAATTCTTCAATTGGAATTTGTTTTATAAAAAATATAATAATAATATCTCCAGAGGGCTAAAAAATAGAGCAGTAAACAGAGGCAACCTTTTTCCAAGCCAAAGTTCATGCTTAAAATGTCTTTTACAAAATACAAATAACTATGAATAGTAGATACAGGACTCCTGTAGATCCTCTGTTGAGAGCCGATATTAAAAATAAATGACTTCCCAGAAAATCTGGCTATATCCCCTCCATTCTACCAAAGCAATGAATCTTCAGTAGTAATACTACAAAGTATCCATTTGTCCACCAAACATGGGATGCAAGCATCAGAGCTTTATGGAATTATATATTGCGTCCATTTTCTACAAGTATCACATGCATCCAAAGAATGTGTTTCTCAAGCTTTCTCAGTTCAGTCCTTTGAAATTAACAATCAAGGGAGTGTTTGCAGCTGTCTCCATTTCCACTTCTAAAAGGCAAAACAATAGACAGAAAGAAAACAGTGATCCTGGATAAAAGAAAGACAAGTATCCAGTTGAAAATTGCATGAATAATTTTGGACGTGATTTGTCTTCCCTTTGCACTTTGTTTCACTCGTTTTTTCCATCATAGTTACAAGTGGTATGCAAGACCTCATAAATATTACAAATGCACCAGCTGCTTTTATGGATTTAATGAACAGAGTCTTCAAGCCTTATCTGGATGAGTTTGTAGTGGTATTCATTGATGTTATTTTGATTTATTCTAAAAGTAAGGAAGAGCATGAACAATACTTGAGAATAATTCTTCAAATACTTCGAGACAAGAAATTGTATGCAAAATTGAAGAAATGTGAGTTTTGGATGGATAGTGCTGTCTTTTTGGGTCAAGTTATTAATCAAGATGGTATTTCAGTTGATCAACAAAAAATTAAAGCTATTGTGAACTGGCTAAGACTAACTATTGTAACGGAAGTTCGAGGCTTTTCAAGGTTGGCAGGTTATTACAGAAGATTCGACAAAGACTTTTCAAAGATGTCAGTGCCGCTCACTCAATTGACACAGAAACGGACGCCATTTGAATGGATAGATGAGAGAGGATCCGCATTTCAAGATTTGAAGACAAGGTTAGTCATAGCACTAGTCCTTACATTGCCATCAAGTATGAAAGAATCTGTTATTTATAGTGATGCATCTTATAAGAGATTGGGTTGTGTTCTTATGCAAAATGGTAGTCATTGCTTATGCATCTTGTCAATTGAAATTACATGAAAAGAATTATCCTACACATGATTTAGAGTTGACGGCAATCATTTTTGCTTTGAAAATATAGCGCCATTATTTGTATGGAGCAACTTCTGAAGTCTATACATATCATAAGAGCTTGAAGTACTAGTTCACCCAAAGGGAGGTCAACATGCGGCAAAGAAGATGGTTGGAGCTAAAAGATTATGACTTACAAATTCAATATCATCCCAGCAAAGCTAACATGGTGGCAGATGCTCTTAGCAAAAAATCAATGGGAAGCCTAGCTTGCTTACTCACAGGGCAGAAATTTCCATTTCCATTCTTTGCAAGTCTTCTAGCAATTCCAGCAAAGCTAACATGGTGGCAGATGCTCTTAGCAAAAAATCAATGGGAAGCCTAGCTTGCTTATTCACAAGGCAGAAGGAATTGCTAGAAGACTTGCAAAGAATGGAAATGGAAATTGTGTTGCATGAACAAGGAGGAGTTCTAGCTGCAATTTTAGCTCAACAATTATTGAAGAGATCAAGTAAAGGCAATAAGAAGACAAATTTTTAAGAGAGTATATGATGAGATAGAGTCTAAACCAAGACCGGGTTTCACTATAGAAGTTCAAGTGCTGAGATTTGAAAGCAGATTATGTGTTCCAGATGTCCCAGAGTCGAAAAGGAAAGTTATGAAAGAAGCTCATTATTCCAAGTTTGCAGTTCATCCCAGGAATACCAAAATGTATCAAGATCTCAAGAAAGTATATTGATGGCCAAACATGAAGAAGGACATTGCCAAGTTCGTCTCTCATTGTCTACAATGTCAACAAGTCAAGGCAAAACATCAAAACCCAACAGGTTTGCTTCAACCTTTTCTTATTCCAGAATGGAAGTGAGAACATATTTCTATGCACTTTGTGATAGGCTTGCCTCGCACCCCTAAATGTATTGATTCTATATAGGTTATTGTTGATAGATTGACAAAATCATCTCATTTCCTACCTGTAAGAGTTTTCTACACCACCGATAGCCTTGCTACGTTGTATATTGATGGGATTGTTAGATTGCACAGTGTACCCGTTTCTATAGTGTCAAATAGAGATCCTAAATTTGTATGTAAGTTTTGGCGAAGTTTACAGAAAGCTATGGGAACGGAGATAAAATTAAGTACCACTTTTCATCTTCAAACAGACAAACAAAGAGAACTATACAAATTTTGGAGGACATGCTTCATTTGTGTGCACTAGATTTTAAAGGAAGTTGGGAAACTCATTTAGGTTTGGTGGAATTTGCTTACAAAAATAGTTTTCAGGCTAGCATTAGCTATGACACTATATGAAGCATTGTATGGGAGAAAATGTAGATCACCAATTTGTTGGACAGAAGTGAGAGATAGACCATTGTTGGTCCCAAAAATAGTGCAAGTCACTATTGAGAAGATCAAAGTAATTCAACAATAGCTCAAAACTGCCTAAAGTTGTCAAAAGAGCTACGTCGACATAAGGAGGGATTTAGAATTTGAAGTTGAGGATCATGTATTCTTGAAGATATCTCCAATGAAAGGTGTATCTCAATTCGGGTAAAAGGGCAAGTTATCTTCTCATTGTATCGGGCCATTTGATATCCTAGAGAAAATCAATCTAGTGGCTTACCAACTAGCACTACCACCAGCATTGGAACAAGTCCACAATGTGTTTCACAATTCAATGTTGAGAGGGAATATCCAAGATCCTTTCCATGTGATAGATTATCATCACCTGGCCATAGATGAAGACTTAGAATATGAAGAACGACCAATTCAGATCATTGATCGTCAAGTGAATCAATTAAGGAACAAGTCTATTGCCATGGTAAAAATTGAATGGAAAGAGCACTATGCAAAGGAGGCTACTTGGGAAGAAGATGATGAAATGAAGGAGAGGTATTCAGAGCTGTTTTCAACCATAGGTAAAGTTTGGTAGACCAAACTTCTTAAGGGAGGGAGAATGTAACATCCAAGGCATTTTTTGCATGACATGAGCATTCATTATCCTTGCTTATTTGCCTTGCATTGCACTTGTAGTTGAGACATGAATTGCTTGAATGAGAACTCAAAAAATACATCCTATAACTAGAAAACCTTGAGGGTATGAAGCTCCTTAAATTGTACTAAGAGTTGGGGGATGGTTTTTAGCTTGAATTTGGGATGTCATGAGGTGTTCAAATCCCTAATCAAGGCGCTTAATAACTTTGGTCTAATGTGTTGAGTATTCCTACGTATTGTACCAAAACTTAATCAAGATTAGCGATAATTAAATATGATTAATTAGACTTAAGCAAGATTAATTAAGTTAATTAATATTAGAGGCTAACCTGGATTAATTAGACTAATGAGGGAGATTAGTGAACCCTTGAGAGACAAGTGTCTCTCCTTCAATTAAATAACAAGAAAATAAGAGAGAGAGAGAGAGAGAGAGAGAGAGAGAGAGAGAAATCTGCTGGAATTCCTGAGAAAAGAGAAAGGAAAAAGAGGAGAAAAGAAAGAAGGGAAAGAAGAAGAAAAGAGGCAAAAGTTCAAATCTTGGCCCAAACTAGTTTTCAACTTGAATTAAGGTAAGAATATTACTTCTACATCACTCTATAATCATTTAATTGGAAGAAATTGTATTGAAGATGGATTTATGAAGAAAAATAAGAGAAGATGAGTTTGGAAATTAGATTTGAAAAAAAAAAAAAATGAGAACTTTGTTTCATTAAAATACAAGCTTTTGATTTGAATAGTATCAAGTTGTGTTAAAATAAAATTCATGGAGTTCTTATCATTTCTCATGGCTTTGTAATTGCGAATTTCATGTTGTTTAGACCTTAAAGCAAGGTTATAGCTGAATTTCGAGGACCAATCAATTGGGCAATCGATTTGTTAACATTTTACCCTTCTTCAAATTGACTAGATAATCGATTCCAAACCATTTTATCCCATTTTCTAATAATTGGCTTAAAACTTAGTTTAAAGTATATAATGGTTTCCAAACAAGATTTTAGAATGATTTTTCTAAAGCCCAACTAAGATTGAGGAGAGGGATTCTTAAGCCAATCACTTTAATTGTGCATAATTAGGCCTTGTACCAATGATTAGCATTGTTTCATTACACTTTGTAAGCCAATTAATATGTGGATTAACAACCTGATTTCAAGCATTTAAGGTGAGTAGTGGATGAAGATCGTGGAAAGAAGAAAAAGAGCAAATCTGGAATTTCACATGAAGCACATTTAGGGCATCAAGAATTAAAAATTTGGAATAATTTTGGATCTTCATGTCATTATAGTAGGTTTTAGTAGTTAAAGGTACTATGGTAACTTCAATTTTGCTAGACATGGGTTGTAGGGTTGCCAGTAGATTTTATTTTGGGTCAAGTTATTAAATGGGTCATTATATATATGTGTTTTATTATATCTAGAATAATCTTATTGGTCAAAAGTCTAAGTTTCCTATTTTGATATTGAAGTAGAATTAGAAGCCATTAAATTTTCCTACTATGATTGAAGTAAAATTGGAAATCACAGTTGGTCTAGAATATTAGTAGTTGCTAAATATTTTTAGTTTCTAAATTTGAGTTATATTCCTTATAAAATTAGAAGAGTCTTTAGCCTAAAAATAGATGTGTAATCTCAATGATTCGAGAGGAGTTAATATTATGAAAATTTGAGATTGTGCTTGTGTGATTGGTCTATCCTTTGTAAGGGTGAAGCACCTCTCTATCTCTCTCTCTCTTCCCCAGCAAGGTTACTATTCATGTCACTGTTCACAGTGCTTAGAATAGCCACTCAACAACCCCTAAACAATTGTGTTTTCATTCCCAAACCCTACCCTTTTAGAAACCCTTAAACTCCTTTTTTTTAAAATAATTTTGGAGCCACAAAAACTCACTAATTCCAGCCCTATAAGCCTATTGTTGTTGTTGCCAGTATACTTAACCTGGGCTCACTGCTTGTGGGAAGTTATCCATACTAATCCTACATCAATTTGGTATCACAGCTTCAAGATCCTACCTTGTTCCTTAACAATTTTGATGAAATTTCTTTCTTTATTACAATGTGACAAGCATTAAATTAAATTGGAAGTTTGAAACCTTGTCAACAAATGATAGAGCTACTAGGAAAGATGTAGCGATATTAAAGAAGGATTTTTAAGGAGGATGTTGCAACAATAAAGAGTGATGTGCATACTATCAAGACAGCTTTGAATGGATTGAAAGCTTCCATGGAAAGATTGTTGGTGGCTGTTTTAGAGAAGACTAATATCCACGAGCGAAAGGATGATAGTGTTGAGGATTTTGAAGAAACTATGAAAGAGCAAGATGAACATGTTGCTAATATTGAGGATATTGAAGAAACAAAGGCGAAAATTACTTTACTTACTAAAGAAAGAATGAAAGATCATCATGATCAAGATTCTAAAGCCAAGGAAGCCAAAGAAAATGATGAGAATGCAACTGACCTTTCTACTCTTCACAAGAAAAATAAAGTTCACATTGAGTTTATTATTCCTAAAAAATTCTATGTGGTCAATGGAGTGGTGACAACATTGAACTTTTTGATTTTCTCAACGTTTGTTCAAAACAATCAATTTGCATGGTTGCAAGTGCAAGATTCCATAATCCTTATACTTCAGCATTATAAAACTTGAGGTTGAGTTTTTTCAAATGCAAGGGAGAATGATGAAGATTATGGAAAGAAAAAAAAAAGCAAATCTGAAATTTCACAATAAGCACATTTAGGGCATCAAGAATTAAAGATTTGGAATAATTTTAAGCCTTCATATCATTATGATAGGTTTTAGTAGTTAAGGGTATTATAGTAACTTCAATTTTGCTGGACATTGGTTGTAGGGTTGCCCATGGGTTTTAGTTTGGGCCAAGTTATTAAATGGGTCATTATATGTGTTTTATTATATCTAGAATAATCTTAGTGGTTAAAAGTCCAAGTTTCCTATTTTGATATTGAAGTAGAATTAAAAATCATTAAAGTTTCCTATTATGATTGAAGTAGAATTGGAAGTTACAGTTGATCTAGAATCTACGTTACACGGACTCGTCAATTTTGGCGAAGTACCTGTGTCGATACGACACGACACGGGTACGGGTACGGGTACGGGTACGGAATTCGGACGGGATACAGCATGTGGAAGCAAGAAGAAAGATGGCATACCTACGATTAGGGCTACGAAAACTGCGATTAGGGATTCGATCTTCTTCTCTCGAATTGTCTTCTTCTCTCTCTCACTCTCACTCTCGATTGTTCTCTTCGTCTGTCTCTTCTTTCGCTCTCGATCATCTTCATCTCTCTCTTCTCTCTGTTTCGATCAACTTCGTCTCTCCCTTCTCTCTATTTTCTTCTCTCTTTTCTTCTCTCCCTTCTCTCTGCATTCTTCTTTCTTGACCGTCTTCTCTTCTCTCTTCTTTTTAATTGGTGCCTATCATATAAATAATATATAATATAAATTATATCATAGATAATATATAATATAAATTATATCATAAATAATATATTGAGAACAACTCCTTTTCTTCCATCTTGAAAGTTGTCACCAATCAACAAGTTAATACACTTTCACCTTTTCACCTACCAATCAAAAGTCAAAAAAGCTACCATCCACCTATCAATTATATAATAATAAATCTAATTAAATAATATATAATATAAAATTAATAAAATCTATAAAATACATTATCTATTTTATATTTATTTTAACATAATTTGTTAAACCTTATTTATTATATTTTTGTTATTTATAATATATATCTCAATTAAAAGTAAAAAAATAAATTATATAGATAAATTAAAAAAATTATCAATAAAAGTAATACATAATATAAAAATAATAATATATTTAAAAAATAACTATTTAACTTATCTTTATATAATAAATATATTTTAAAAATTAAATATTTAACATATCCCCGTACCCCGTATCCTCGTTTGGATCCATATCCACGTATCCTCAATTTTTAGTTTTGAAATGTCCGACCCCTAGACACATACCCACACCCGACACCCGCACCCGAGTCCGTGTAACGTAGTCTAGAATATTATTAGTTGCTAAATATTTTTAGTTTTTAAATTTGAGTTGTAGTCCTTAGAGATATAGAAGAGTCTTTACCCTAAAAATAGATGTGTAATCTCAATGATTCGAGAGGAGTTAATATTATGAAAATTTGATATTGTGTTTGTGTGATTGGCCTATCCCTCACGAGGATAAAGCACCTCTCTCTCTCTCTAGCAAGGTTATTGTTCACGTCAGTGTTCACAGTGCTTAGAACAACCACTTAACAACCCCTAAACACTTGTATTTTCATTCCCAAACCCTACCTTTTTACAAACCCTTAAACTACTATTTTTTTTTTTTAAAATACTTTTGCAACCACAAAAGCCCACTAAATCCAGCCCTATAAGCCTATTGTCGCTGCTGCTAGTATACTTAACCCGTACTCACTGCTTGTGGGAAAGTAATCCCTACTCATCGTACATTAGTAGTATTATTGCAAAGTTATGTTTAAATTCTAGTTTTAGAAATTAAACTTGTATTATGTTTCGATTTACATTGAAATGCTTCAATATGAATGAAAATCCTATGTTATGTATCAAATGTATAAAGATGGAGTCCTTCGGATTAGTCCTAGCTACTAGGGGACTATAAGCATGCCAGTAGCAATCTGATTGAGATCTCCCTTGCACCTGCAGGAGGATTCATCTAATCGGTACCTGGGCCGGTTATTCCCTTGTCTTGTCTTGTTCTAATGAATATACATTATCATTATGTTTTGAAATGTAATACTCTTGAAAGGAAATGCATTTGAACTTGCTAAAACTATGAACATGAATGGTTATTGTTTTATAAAACTCGTTGATGTTCATTTATTGCACCACTTTGCTATGATACTATTCATTAGGATATGGCTCACCCCTCTCCCCTATATGTATGTAGGTGAAGAAGAAGAAGAACGAGTCTGAAGAGATCTTGATTTGTTGAGTTTTTGCATATGTAATAAAGTTGGGAGTTATATGTATAAGAGTTTGAGAAGGCCTTGTAAATATTAGCCTTGTAAGATCAATAGACTGGCTTGTGGTAGTTGAGCCCTTTTTGTAAGCTATGTACACTCTAGTAATATTTAAAGAAGTTAATGACAAAGTTGAATGTTTCATTTCATTTCGCATGCACTCACTCTGAATGGACTTATTACCTAATGAATGTAATGCTTCCGCTTATTTTCCCCATGTACCATTAGTTCATTTTTTTTTTTTTTTTGGGGGGGGTCTAGCTAGGCCTTTGGTAGTCGGGGACTACTAGCCGGTCACTACCCTATCTTGTTTGGAGTAGGATGGGGTTGTGACAGAACTTGTTCAATTTACTCGAGCTTGAAATTGAGGCTTGAGGTCAGCTCATCTAGGCTTATTCCAAAAGAGCTGTGACGAAGAGAAGTAAAGCATTTCATCACCTAGTCACTATTTTTGTGAGGTCTAATCACTAAATAACTCCTCCTGTAAACATATAACATCAAACCTTTCCTCTTCCCTTTTTTTTTTTTGTTCCCCTTTCTTTTTTTTTTTTCTCTCTCCCCAATTGAACGAATAAACTCTTGGAAAAAGAATGGTTATCTATTGTTAATTAAGATCAATAAACATGATGAGCCATTCTATTGATTAACAGAAAAAGGTGGAAAGAGATCTCAAGCAATGGGATTTGATCTCAGGTTTGTTGTACCAATTTTAACAAACCATAACAGCTAAGCCAGCAAGAAACTTCAATGACAACGGATATGCAAGGGTGGCAGTGCATGAAACCTTCAACAAGATGATGATGAAAAATACATTAAACTTTGCTCATCTTTATATAACCGTCACTAATCAGGTAAATATTTCTATGACTAGTTCAAACACAAAATTTTCATGCTTGTAAGTTCAAAAAACAAGCAATGCAAGAAGAAAGGAAAGCTCATCTTGCTTGGCACCTATTTGCATTCACCAAAGAGAAGTTACTGAACCAAACAATGAAGGTGTTGCAGGTGCACAAAAAGAACACAACAAGAGTGTAATCCCACCAGCAAAAACAATTTCCAATTCCTATCAATGTTTTTTGGGGCTTATGTGGATATATTAAAAAAAGTAATGACAAAATCAAATTGAATAATCTTACTGGAAATTAGGGCCTTGGGTCTGGTCTTGAACAAAAAGCGGTGTCGAATGATGCCGACAACTTCCAATTGTTCCCTTGATGATGATGATGATGATGATGATTGCCTCAATTTTTTCAAGACCAAAAAGGGCTTCTTCAAGGGCACTTTGGATCCCATTAATTCATGATAGCCAACAGTCAAAGTGTAGGTCTCCTGGGAAAAAGAAAGAAAAGGAAATTGGATTGGATTGGATTGGATGAGTAATAAAATGGAAGGTTTAGGAGGTTGATGAAAACCTGAGAAGAAGGGCGGCATAGATGTCCGATTGGGAGGTTTTGAAGACGATCTTTGAAGTCGGGTTGAGGTTCGATGACGCCTTGCAATTCCACGATCGCCCATTCTTCGCACTTGTTTTCTCCGCCGCAATTACACTTCACCTCAATCCTCATTACTCTCTCTCTCTCTCTCTCTCTCTCTCTCTCTCTCTCTCGTTGTGTCAAAATCAATCCAATCTGCTCTCTTCCTCCAAAATACATACATACAATTGATTAACGTTCTTCTCAGGGGAAGTCCTTTTTGTACTAGTACGACGATATATGGAAGCGACAAGGTTTTATTAGGGAGGGACTTCAAATTCATCAATCTTTAAAAACCACAAATATGTGTCAAGATGCAAAATGAATTTGGCGGCAAAAGCTCATTGATTTTATGAATTTGGCGGCAAAACCCTTTGCTTTTATTAGAGCATCACAATGGAATAGTTAAAATTATTTGTTAAAATGTGTATTATATGACAAAAAATGATAAAAGTGAGGTTAAAAAATATGTGTTAAAAGTTTGTTAATTTTAGAAAGTGAGTGGTGATGCACTGGATGTGTTAACGTATATGTTAAGATGTATATTGACTGTATATATATAAATAATAAATAAAATAAATAAATATATATATATAACCATGATGATGGATCGAATATTATATATATATATATATATAAATAACTTCATACAAGTCTTCTTCTTCAAAGCTCTTCTGATAGATCGAATATTATATTATGTATATATATATAAAAATAACTTCCTACATGTGATGTTCTTCAGGTCTTCTTCTTCAGAGCTCTTCTTCTTCACTGCAATTTCAAAGCTCTTCCTCACTATAATTTTTTTTTTTTTATTTGGTCTGGACGACCGGCCGGACATCCAGAGGGATGACCGGCCGGATGACACATGGTACTTCCCACATCCCCTCTCTCTTCCTTTCACTGGCTAAAATGTTAGCCACAGTTAACACACAAAACTAACAATTGACACTAACAGACCATTTAGCTAGTTCATTGCAATACAAAATAGTGTTTTGAACTAGCTAAAAATTAGCAACTAACACTAGCACAGCGTTTAGCTACTCCATTGCTGATGCTCTTAGTGCATTTTCCACCTTGCGCTTTTTTTTTTCATCAAATTTAAATTTGATAAAAATAAATAAATTAACTTTTGTTGTTTTAACCTTTACATCAAATTAATATTTAATCTATGATATCTTAGAGCATGTTTGGTATGATAGAATGAAATGAAGTGGGAATAGAATACGAGGTTAAATGGAATGGAATGTCCATTCCCATTCCATTGTTTGGTTGCAAACATGGAATGACATAGGAATATGATGATAATTCTCATTCTCATGTTTGATTATACCTATTAAACTCATGGAATGGAATAAATTTTTATTATTATTTTTTTTTAACAAGCTAGTAACAAATAAATTAAAAATTTATATAGATCATGATAATATTACTAGTTTTGAAAGTGATGGTGTGAGTTACAGTGGTGGTGGTGGTGGCGGCGGCGACGACAACAACGGTGGTGGCATTAGCGGTGGTGATACAATAATAGTAAGATGGTGGTAGTAGATTGTTGTGACCTTAGTGGTGATAGTAAGGTGGTGTTGCGGTTGCAGTGGCGGTGGCAGCGGCTGCAGTTGTGGCAGCCAACAATAGTAGTGGTAGTAGTAGTGGCGACATCGGTAGTATGGTGGTGTGGTGGTTGTGGCAATGACCGTGGTGGTGGTGGTAGTGGTGGTTGTAGTGGCAATAAGGTGGCGGTGGTGGTGGCAATACGGTGGTAAGAGAACGTAATGGTGGCAGTAGTTAAATAATAATTTTTTTATGTAAGAATTTATGTATTATTGATTGATATATGTTGTTTAGTAGTTGTAGTAGTAGTGGCGACATCGGTAGTATGGTGGTGTGGTGGTTGTGGCAATGACCATGGTGGTGGTGATAGTGGTGGCAATAAGGTGGCGGTTGTGGTGGCAATAAGGTGGCGGTGGTGGTGGCAATATAGTGGTAAGAGAACGTAATGGTGGTAGTAGTTAAACAATAATTTTTTTAAAAGTGCCAACAAAAAAAATTAGTAAAATTGTATGGTAATTCCATGATGGAATGGAATGGCCATTCCTTAGGTTGGAAGCAGGAATAAAATTCCCATATTTTGTTTAAATGGCCGTTCCAATGGAATGACTATTCCCATTTAAATAAGGCATACCAAACAAGGGAAAGGAAATGTAAAGCTAGAATGGGCATTCCACTCTAGCCCATTCCATTGTATCAAACATGCTCTTAAAGTTTTTATCAAATTGAGGAAGGTTGTGCTTTTCATCAATATATTGTTCATAATCATTAAAAATGTAGGTCGTACAATGTCACCGGACGATCGACCAGATGTCCAGCTGGTTGTTCCTCGAACATCCACTTCGTTGAAAAATTGCCCAAAATTGATTGAAAAATATTTCAGAATTGATTGAAAATTACACTAGCCGGTCGACTGGCTCAATGTTTGTCCTGTCGATCTGTAATTTGATGAAAGTCCAAAATCCTCCGTTGGAACGTATAATATCAGATGAAGTTTTTACTCAAATTTGATGAAACAAATAGATAAACGTTGGAGACGCTCTTAGTATTTTATTTTAGGAGATTTGGTGAAATTGTAGAAACCTCAAGGGAGGTTTATGAAATAACACTTAAACCTCTCCTCAAGTTTAGTTTTCAATTGCACTGGCATCCCCTCAGATTTAGTGAAATGAAAAAATATTCCCTAAGGTTTTTAAAATAACATAAACCTCCCTTGAGGTTTAGTTTTTAATTACATTAACCCCTCTTAAGGTTTAATAAAATTACAAAAATCTCCCCTAAGGTTTATAAAGTGACAGGAAAGGTTTATAAAGTGACAGGAACCTTCCTTAGGGCTTAGTTTTTTTTATTATAAATTCTTTTTTCTACTACTTTATCGCAAAAAAATAAAATAAAAATAAAAAATGTTGACATCAATAAATAATTTAATTATATTTTTAATTTACCCTTTAAAACTGTGTCCGATTATAAAGAAATAAAAAATATATACATAATTCTTATTGGAGTTTGAACAAAGGAGGCATACATAGGTCCTATTTAGAAAGTTGAATTTGGGTTTAAATAGTCAATAAAGATAAGATAGACTAAAATAATTAATAAGACAAAATGTCACATTAAAATCATAATCATTTCACTTTTTCTTTTACAACCATCAAATGAACTACAAAAAAAAAAAAGAAAAAGAAACAAGGGTAAATTACATTGACACCCCCTGAGGTTTATGTTTATTACAGTTTCCCTTCTCACATTTGAAAAATTACACTGGCCCTCTTGTTAATTTAATTTCATGTATGGATCATTATGGTGAGGGGGGAACTGTTATGAAACTTTAAACCTCAGGGGGTAATTTGTAATGAAGCTTTAAACCTCAGGGAGGAGGATGTAATTTTCAAAAGGTGAGGGGAGAAACGTAATAAACATAAATCTCAGGGGGTGTCAATGTAATTTACCCAAAAAAAAACAAACAAACAACTATCTTCCAAACAAAACTTTTTTAACCAGACTAAAATAGTCAAAAAATAAACTAAAATAGCGTATTTCTAAACCGGGTCATAATCAACACTAACTACAAGTATAGCAAAGAGAAAAAATAGGAATTGTATTTTTTTTTTTTAATTGGACACAATTTTAAAAGGTGAAACTAGAAATGTAATTGAATTATTTAATGATGTCAACAATTTTCTATTATTTTTTTATGGTGCCTGGGAGTTTTTAATAAATGAGAAACACAATCAACAGTAATTGAAAGCATAATAATATATATATATATATATAATTCCTATTGGGGTTTTGGATATAAGAGGCATATATAAAACAGTAACTACAGGCATAACAAAGAGAAAAATCTAGGAATTGTATTATTATTATTATTATTATTTTAATTCAACACAATTTAAAAAATATAATTAAATTATTTAATGATGTTAACATTTTCTGTTTTTTTTTTTTATTTTTTTTTTACGATACTAGAGAGTTTTTAATAAAGGAGGCGTACACAATCAACAGTAATTGAAGGCATAATTAAAAGAAAATAAAAATTATATATATATATTTATTTATTTGTAATCGGACACAGTGGGTAAATTAAAAATAAAATAAAATTATTTATTGATATCAGTATTATTTTTTTATGATAAAGTGGCAAAAAAAATTAAAATAAAAAACTAAACCTCAAGGTAGGTTCCTGTCACTTTATAAACCTTTGGGGAGATTTCTACAATTTCATTAAACTTTAGGGAAAGTTAGTGTAATTGAAAACTAAACCTCAAAGGAGGTTTCTATCATATCAAAAATCTTAGGGGAAGTTTCTACATTTCATTAAACCTCAGAAGAGGTCAGTACAACTAAAATTAAACCTTAAGAGAGATTTAAATCATTTTAAAAACCTTAGGGGAGGTTTCTGCAATTTTACCAAATCTTAGGGGAAGCCAATGTAATTTACCCTTTGTTTTAAGATAAATACCTACCCTTCAAAGGAAAACAAAATAAAATGTTAAAATTGTTTGATTTAGAGGTTGTGAGTTTAAAATTAAATTAATTGTATCTAGTTATTCTATAAAATGAATTTGTTTTAATTTTGAAATTCAGATTATTTTAATGTTTGATTTGATAGTAGGTTAATTTTACAATTTGATTTTAAAACAGGGCTGTTTTTTGTTAAATTTTAAAAAGAGGGAGTAGCATTATTGACTCAATGACAACCACTCACACCTTTGTTAGGTTTTATTATTTAAAATCAGGTCGATTTTACCATTTGATCATGAAAATAATTTGATTTTATTGACGAATTTTAAAAAATGAGTTGATTTTATCTCTTAATTTTAAAATTAAATTGATTATATTGATTAATTGGAAAATAGATTGATTTATTGTGGCAAAGGAAAAAACTATGAACCTTAAATAATTTATTAAAATTTTTACTAAATCTCTCGCATAAGTATGGAATTCATACAAATTCACATATGTGTGAGTCTATCATGACCCAAACCCGATACCAAAGGCTCGGCGTCGCAACAAGATAAAAATAGAATAATTCAATAATTTTTGCAGTCGTAGAGCAAGCGATAAATTAAAATAAAATAATTGGGTACCAAAAGTTTATTGAAAAGAACAAAAACAGCCATTTGGGCTTTATTTCATTACAAGAGTCCAATCCAAAATACAGATAG